GCGCGATCGTCAATGACACCGCCCCAAAGAGGAATAATTATCCCGTATTCCCCGGACTGTTGGGGGTGCTGATTGTAACCCAGTAGGTGTGTGCGTGCGTGACCAGGTTTGTATAGATCACGGTGGCTAGATGTTAACTACCTCGCCTGGTGTACATGAGGTCGTGGGTTTGATCCCGACCATTATGCCTTTAGATTTGGAGTTTCCGTGTCATCTCAGTGGTGTTGTAGATTTTCCTCCGGCTCCTTTGATTTTCCCCTCCAGATTTCGAAACGTGCGTTTAGAGTATGTGGCCGCTATAAACTCCCACGCGATAAGCCACTTCGCTGAGCCACCGTTTGTGGTCAGGTCGCTTCTGAAAAAGAGCTACGTAGCTCAGTGGGCCTTACCTGGTAAAATCAAAATAAAACTTGGAACTTTTTTGACAACGGACGCGGGTTTGATCCCCACTCTGTCCCCTGCACCGGGGGATTACTGAAGCAACGTACATTACGCATGTGCATTATGCGAGCCCTTTGAACTTGTCCTTCCTGTCTATGCACATGCATAATGTACGCATGTTTTCCAATCCTGCATTGTGCAATGGCTTCCTATTATCTGCAATTTTTGGTTGTTGATAAGTGGAGTAACATTGGGAAACGTATCCTATCATACGCGGGTCTTGATTGGCCATTTCCCGAACTCCCAACACGCCCTGCAGAAAATTCCATCGCAACTCCTGTTATGTGTCACATTTTCTTATTGCGCGTAAGTGGAGGCCATCTGGAAAAATTCATCATATTTTCAGTTCACCCACAAACAAGCGGCGTGAATTCGTCGATATGAGGATCCCCAATGTCCATCCCCCCGCATTGCCGCGGACAGCACACACCTGGTCTTTTCTGCAGCCTCGGTAGGCACCGCTGAATGAAGACGCAGGCTCAATATACACAATAGTCCCTTCGTGCGGCCAATGGCAAGTGGCCTGACATCATCAAACCATTATGTCCGTGGAATGTCTTTCGCAAAGTACGTAGTCAAACCGTGCTAATCGGAGGGGCGAAATAATAGTCGAGAACCCGCTTTGAATAGCCCAGAATTGAACCCGGAACCTCGGAGGTGTTATGAATGAGTCCTATAAATTATGGCAGCAAGAGCAGTTTGCGTGAATGCTCTCGCAAGAGGTCACGCGTTTGGGGCAAAGCTCCTTTCGCTGACCATGCACGATGAATGAATGCATTAACCTCCAGTCTCCCCGGCCACCGCTTGCATTGTCCATCTCGATGTGCCCTTGAGGACGAATGAACGAACGAGTGAATGAACGAACAAATCAAGAGGCGCAAGAGCCGCCGGCGGCGGTGTGGCCAGCGAGGGTGCCCCGGGTCCCCCGAGGCTGCGCGTTGCGCGAGCCCCAGCCTCGCCGCTCCCCGGCCCGCGCGACGCAACGACAGCTGGGAGCGGCCGGCGGCTGTAGTCAGCTCCGGCCGTGCGACCGCGGCTGCTCACCGGCATGCAATGGCCTCACCGGCATGCAGTGGCCTCACCGGCATGCAGTGGCCTCGCCGCCCGCAGCGGTCAGCGCAGGAGACGCGGACGGCATCGCCGCCGCTAAGCGGTTCTTCGTGTTGTGAAACGGGCATACAAACTCGACTGCAGAGAGAGGGTGCTGCTACGGTGAAATCAGTCAGCGTCGATGGACTTGCAGTGGGAAAGTTTCTTAAATCCAATCCCACCCCCCAGCTCACCCCCCTGTCCAACCCAGCAGTGTGCGTGGGTACACCACAGTTAGGCGCGTGTGGTGGGGCAAAGTGTGGGTACTGCCACCTATTCTAAGATGTCTGGCCAGCATGGAAGAGTAGGCCAAATACAACTTCACAGGGGCTCTCTGGAGCTCCCCCTAATCGATGCCCTTCCGCAAGCAGCGGAGTGAGTGAGCAATTGCAGGGGCTGCACCTTTTGCCTTCACCTCGGACGCCATGTGAAATGACTGGCTGTTGTAGAAATGTTCATATCTTGAGAATGTAAAAAAAAAGTACTACGACAATGATGATGTCATCATAGCGTGTACGACCTTTTTACACCGTGCAGATTAAGCGTGCTTCTCCCCGGTGTCATGAGCAGTCATCGTTCGTGCGCTGACAGTAAGTTATTATATCCCAAAAGAATGACCACCTGCGGTCATGTGCTTTTGTTATAAACACCACATCTGATTTTCCCCAGCAGTCTCCGATCCAGCGACTAAACCGGGCACAAGCGTCACCGTGGGCTCCCGAGATTCGGCGCCTTCAGGCTGATCTCGTTAGAGGCAACACACGGCTCATTCCAGAGTCCCCTGCAAACGTCACCGCGCTCGCGGCAATCATTCCCGGCGAGGTGGAACGACAGACGACATTCGCTCCAGCAGCGGGATGACGCAGGAGGCCCCGTGGCTCATGCACGGCCCAGCGAACGCAGGGAGCAGCCCAGGGAGGCGGTGGAGGGGGGGGGGCAAACGGGAGGCCCTTTTTTTTCCCCGACGCAGCGCGAAAACCCAGGGGGGTTGCTGCCTCTGATTTCAAATTCTTTTCACCAAGCGGTTGCCATTGATTCCGCGCGCGTGTGTGTGCGTGTGTGTTTGCGTGTGTTTGCGTGTGTGCGAGTGCGTGCGTGTGTGCGTATTTTGGGGAGCGCCTTCATAGGTGCTCGCTAACAGCACTTGCCCCAACAGTCTATTGTTAAGGCTGAAAGAGGGGTTATTTGTCTCTGTCGTTGTGCCGTGCAAGCCTGTTATGCACACGGCAGTTACACCGACAGCGATTGTGGAGATACGCTCGGCCGTGTATGGGTCAGCTGAGGCAGCAGCCCACAAGGACAGCACGCTATTGATACACGTCTTTTGTTAATGATAACTTTTGGGTGAATTAGATGCAAAAAAATATGAGCATTGAGGCGGTGCTCGTCTCCTTCTCGCAGTCCTTAGCCAGTAATGTAAATTCCACATTACTATGGCAGAGGCGAGTCCAACCACAGGGCACGCGCTGTTGATTTTCCACAAAGTGGCGCTCATTTGATCGATCCCGGGATGAGGCGATGATGCCGCTGAGTCAACCCCCAAACCGAGATTTGAACCCGCAACCTTTCCCATTGCGAGCCGCTCGCTCGAACGCTGAGCCACGTGGCTGGTCGAGCGACCCGACTGGAAACGATAATTAGTGAGGATGTGAATCGACCAGGTTTAGTCGTGCATAACGTCATGGAAATATTGTGCATGACAACTATAAAATGGAAGGAACGCTCAAAGTAAGTAAAGCAGAAGCTTCAACAGTTAGCGGGTTGGGGGAGCAACCGTTGTTGTGCAATATGTATATTTGCGGTGACCGTTAAACACGAAGGTTAATCGACAAACTTTTTATATTCGATAACAAAGAAAGAGAATCCAAGATGCAGTCAACAATGCACAGAGCAATTTCGGGCCAGGCGTGAGGCTAAATTCAGTGGAAGATTTTACCCGGCGAGTTGAGGTTTGGAGAAGGTGTGTACATAGCAGAATGTGACTGAATGCTGATGGACATCAACAACAAGAGCTTTATAATTCATGGATATTTATGGGTAAAACACGATTTAATTGAGTGAAGATATCTGCATTCATGGATATATTATATTAAATTTATGCTATGCAATGTATCCAAAATACATCACCAGTGCATTAAGAGCCCTATCCCAAGATCATTAAAATGACTTTTTCCATCTAACCATATTCTGAGTAATATCCAAAATCAAGTGAATATATATTTTTAAATATAGAAAATAAAAGTGTACTCGTGCTCGAATACCTGTGCAGCGGAATCTTATTTATATTGGTGGCCCACAGAGCCAGTGGTGGCAATTCCACATTTCTATGGTGAAGTCATAGAAATGTGGATAACCGCCAGTGACGTCTCACACTGCCGTACTCGCTTTGTGAACCCCGTTCGGAATGATGAGCCGAGTCGACCCCCTACAGGGATTTTAACTTCTACCCCACCAAATGTGGGTTGAGTACTCTGTTATAATGCGCATACAAGACACAATATAACAAAGCTCACTCGCCTCACCATTCGCACTCTTCGGTTGCGTGAGCTAACACGCCGGGCACAGGCACATCACGGAGGGGGCAGCCGAGACGAAGTGAGCGCGATGCTGCGGTGAACAGTGGGCGAGATGCTGTGAGTGATGCTGTGCGTGATGATGCATGTCAGGGGTAGAATATCAGTCTGCCGTGCGGCATTACATTGAGCGGTGCCGCTTTGTTCGACGGGGTCTGTGATACTGCCGTGCGAAGCTGCAAGTCGGCGATCTGTGATTGATGCTGTGCTGTGATGTTGCGCGCGTGATGATGCTGCCGTGTGGGATGATGCACGTGAGTAACGAAGCGTGCAAGTGAAGCCGTGTGTGATGCTGTGTAACCCTGCATTCGGTAACCTGTGTGATGCTCTGTGTGATGCTGCTGCGCGTGTGGCATTGTGTGATGATGCTTAGCTGTGATGCTAATAATATGAAGAACTTGTAACGCGCTGCCGCTGTATGGTGCTCACTCGCTTCTCGTAGACTCAAAGGTACGAGGAACCACAGACAAGTAAGAAGGCAGCCAGCGAGGCAGAGGGCCACTGCCAACATTTCTTCCAAGCTCTGCGATCCTCTATGTTAAGCTGCTATGGGCCAACAAATGAGTGTTCACACTTGGGAGGAAACCGTAGCACCTGGAGAAAACTCACACATGAGCGGGGACAACACTCTATCCCATACTGATGGAACAGGTGGAGTCAACATTTTGATGTGCCACCTTCTCCTGGTGAGCCAGGGTATGGCACGTCCCCGACGCCCTCCGGAAAGGGAGCGTCACAACATCTTTGGGGCGATCCGCGAATGCTAACTGCCTCCAAAGTGTTGGATCACAGGCAACGTGCGGCATAGCCACCACCGCCCAAGTCATAACGCGATGCTACCGTGTGTGATGCATGTGCGAGTGGTGCTGTAGCGAGCGGTGCTGTGCTGCGTGCTACCTGCCACTCCTGTAGTCCGCAGCACTGCAGAATGCGACGGCATTTCTCTTGAGGGGCCATCTTGCTCCTCAGAGGGATCAGCACCAAGGACAGCTCCCTGTACCTGTCAACATGGAAACCACGTGTCAATTCACGTGTCAAACCACGCGTCAAACCACGTGTCAAACCGCCTGTTAATTCGCGTGTCAATACACGTATCAATTCACGTGTGAATTCGCGTGTCAAACCACGTGTCAATTCGCGTGTCAATTCGCGTGTCAATTCGCGTTTAAATTCACGTGTCAATTCACGTATCAATTCAACTGTCAATTAACGTGTCAATTCAAGTGTCAATTCACGTGTCAATTCACATGTCAAACCACGTGTCAAACCGCCTGTGAATTCACTTGTCAATTTGCGTGTCAATTCGCGTGTCAATTCACATGTCAAACCACGTGTCAATTCACGTATCAATTCACGTGTCAATTCGCGTGTCAATTCGCGTGTAAATTTGCGTGTCAATTCGCGTGTCAATTCACGTGTCAATTCGCGTGTAAATTCGCGTGTCAATTCACGTGTCAATTCGCGTGTAAATTCGCGTGTCAATTCACGTGTCAATTCACGGATCAATTCACGTGTCAATTCACGTGTCAATTCACGTGTCAATTCGTGTGTAAATTCGCGTGTCAATTCGCGTGTCAATTCACGTGTCAATTCGCGTGCCAATTCGCGTGTCAATTCATTTGCAAGGCTTCCCCCAATCTGGGATTGTAACTACTGTAGGCAGAGGTCTGTTGTTTGTAAGATGGTGTTTTGGTGGGAAAGCCAAAATCACCGTCAACCCACAAAGCCCTGTCGACATAAAATGGCAGAAGTTACAAACAGACTCAATAAGAATTTCCTGGGTGAAAAAAAACCTCAGAATAATAATAATACAGTCTAACCAGGGCATCACTACACCGCACAACATTCATTCAGGATGCGCCCTCACAATTAGGAGACGACCGAGGTGAGCTGCAAAGTAAGAATTAAACGGGTCCCATCCAGATCTTACACGACTGCTCGAGACGAGCGCTCATGAGGGATTTCCAGCATTTGACCTTGGGGGCGCTTCGTCTTTACGTCAAACTGTCTCCGCGCGCAAATGAGCGTGGCAGCCTCACTCATCTCTACTGGTGTCACTGATTCGATGGTAGACATTACACGTTCATGTGGCAGTAGCCAGTTTATCCTTCACTAGCACGGAGAGACCGTCTCCATGTAATTTCAGAATCTATATTTTATCCTGGAGAAATCCGATGAGCTATGAAGCTCTTTTTCACAGATGCCCAGTAGTAATAGTGTACGGAGTATCACGATTTGCACTAATGTAATAGACTCTTTATCGTGAGAATTCGTTGAATCGCTGGTGGGAAGGGATGGCGAATTTCTCCACGCATTATCAAGTTACCCATAAGAGGCTGAGCATTTGGTAATCCTTGACCGATTTTACCTTCCAAGCCATCCTTACTCCGCCTGTAACAGACATCGGCTGACCAGCAAGCAGGATCCCTTACTTTATTGGGGTGTCGCAGTGGCAAGATGTTAACTACCCCGCCTGGTATATACAGAAGGTCATGGGTTTGATCCCGACCCTGACGCCTGTTGTATATTTGGAGTTTGCATGTTCTCACCGTGGTCACGTGGATTTTTCTCCGGGCTTACCCTCCACGGTCAGAATCAACAAGCTATCATTTGTGGCCAGGTCGCTTCTGAAAAGATAGAACTCAGTGGGCCTTACCTGGTAAAATGAAAATGAGTTTACTACGATGAACATAAATTCTGGTCCCCGTTCAATCGCCATAATTCACGGAACGCGCACGACAGCAGAGTGCACGCAGACCACCCGTCTGCACTGCCCCCCCCCCCCCACAGTGACCACGTGCCCCCCATTAGGAGATTAGGAGGATGTAATGGCCCATGGGGAGCCCCGGGGCGATGCCGCGGGGTCAAGAGGTGGGGCCGTGGTTGTGTGTTCACACGGCACTCTGGGGACAGTCTACCGGCTGGCCCACGAGCATCAGTGCGGGCTAGGGTTACTTAACTTTTAATGTATTGCTCAGCTTTAATGCCGTTTCCGTTCTGGACTGTCCTGATGTATATTGGTCAACGCTGTTATACCCCGTGACTACCCTCGGCGTGTCTCACGTGATCCATTGTTACACCTCTATGCTGCTTACAACACAGACGCGTGTTTGCCTTGCACAATGGGCTCAAGTTTAAAAGGTGCATCATCTTACACAATCACTAGACAGAATTCGGTCGCCTCAGCTGTACCAGTGAACTAAATTAACCAGATGTGTTGACTGAACAAAGTCTTGGGAGTGAACTAGGATGAATGAAATAAAAACAAACTCATAAAGGAATGTCTTTATGTTGCACATTAATACATGACCAGACTCAGGTAATTAAACGCCTTATAGTTGAAGACCACTTTTAATCAATAAGCGATCTTCATCATCATCTTCACCATCTTTTCCCTTTCGTCAGCTCATTAACGACAACGGGACTTGATTCATTTCCACCGCTGTTCTCTTTCTTTAACCAGTATCACTGCGTCGCTCAGTCTCAATAATTTCCCTCCTACAGCTTGAGCCGTTGCCTCTATTCCACCGGCTTCCCATCTTGGCCTCTACTCCTGATTCCTTCCACTTTTGTATCACACGGCCAGGTACAAGATCCATGTTCGGGGGGGATTAGTCACATGACGCGTCCAAAACCACGCCGTTCTTCGTTCCCTGCACTTAGTCTCATGTGGCTGTTTTTGCCTGGCAACTCGAGTGAGATATCAGAATTGGAACCCAGGCTATCCCAGCGAAGCTCGCTCAGGGCTACGACAGGGGAGGATCATTAGGCCCCAGAGACACCCAGCCACACCTAGGACACAAATAGCATTACCGTTTTAATAGCATATTCCCGTCCACCACAAGGAGAGGAAATGCCAGCCCGAGTGTAAGTGGCTGTCGAGTTGGGTGTAATTGAGACAAGTCATTAGGAAGATACGCCAGTGAGCGTGTGCATGGGAGACCCGGTGTCCCATTACATGCTTGAACCTGACGCCAGCAGAAGGCACGACAATCATCATCTGCAAGAGCAGAGGACGGAGCGAGGCAGCTGCCCCATTACGGGCGTCATTATTGTCTCTGGCAACTGATCTCATTCCCAGGGGAAATGGGGGAAATTCTAAAATATTTCTCGCCACGGCTGAACGCGCTCGCTCGGATCAGCCAGCGGAGGTTTGACGTCCGTCCATAATCTCGCATTCATTATTTGTTTCTATTAATGTTGTTGTGTAGGCAGTCGTTTGTTTGTTTGCTTTTCACGAATTGTTCTGCGTGGCGACGCGCCGGTCGATTTTGTTGCCGACGGCTCCGTCTGGATACAAACACCGATTTGTTCGCAAACGTCCGCGAAACGTCGATTCATTTCCTTATTTGCGTACATCGCAAATGTGCGTTTAACTCGTTAACCCGGAGGGAGTAAACACCTTGCTTTTACAGAGAAAACATTGCCAAGGTGGAAAATGAAGCAACTCTTACAAAGGAATTGTCCAGGTATTTGGGTGTGCCCAAGAGTAGAGACATGTTGTCGGTCTGCTGCCATAATATGTTTTACGCAGAACACAGAGATGAAAGCCATTGATGTCCAGCAGACAGGACCGCTGGTTAAGGTCTCATTATTACAAACTACGCACAGTACTGGGTGAGTCGCGGTGCAGTGCCAACGGCTGAGCTCTGGCTCTGAGAGAAGACAGTGCCCTCTGCTGATGGCAGACAAGAGGCTTCCATGAGCCATGGTCCCAGTCATAGGACCATGCCCAGGTAGGTACTCATCAGGGTGATAATATTTACAAGCGGCACAGGTGAGAGCCAGACGATCGTTGTCTATCGGTGTCGACTCATTGTGGCCACAAGTTTATGCCGATTTTGCAAGAAGCGTCGAATTAAAACCGAGTGATTACATCGCTTCCTCCATGATGACGGTGGAGCAGAGAGCCAGACATGAGACATTTAATCGATGATCAGGCATATCGACAAGGCCATACTTATATCGCTCAAAATAGTAGTGCATGGTGATGATCATCATCAGCCATGATCAATCCACTGCTAGACGATAGCCTCTCTGTGTCTTCACCAATCTTACAATGCTGCGATGTAATAATGCACCTAGCACCTGCACACGAGGTGATTTCATTGTTCCATCTCCTCTGTAGACGGCCTCTCAGAGGCGTTCCATGACTGCATGGTATGATTGTACGAGTGACCTTAAGCCTCATCCAAACCCTTTTAACCTTATAATTTGTACACAACTAATGAAAGGTACATTGAACAAAAGTACAAACGTAATGACCCGTAAATATGTTGCTTATTCCTAACCCTCAAATAAATCAAAGCCATATCTAGAAATGGGAAAGTTGTTTAAAATGTGTAAAAACCTTTGACGATCATCATAGCGAACTGTTTTGCTCCGTTTTTATTTTATCTTGGTCAAAGGCCACAGGTTATGCTTGGCTCACCATTACTACCACGTTAAGCTCCACTGGTTCCTTGTGGTCAGTCAACTCACGACTCTACACTTAACACACACTCAGGCCCTCTGACTCACAGCCTCACTGACTCACACATGAACAGCTTGGATTTCTTGCAATGCAGGTGGCCCACTTTGGTAATTTTCAGAACAACGCTGGGTCAGGGAGGTGGTGGCCATGCACGTGGCTTATTGTCCAGCCCAGTGGAGGCAGCAGCGAGGGTTGTTGGATCGCCACACAGATGTTGTAAATCTCCCTTCCCGTGGGCCTTGAAGAGGTGCCGTCCCCTGGTTTGCGGTACAGCAAAATGTGGCCTCCAGCTGTTCCATCCGTACGGGACAGAGGGTTACCCCCCTTGCACAAGTGAGTTTTCTCCGGGTGCTCCAGTTTCCCACCACAAGTAAACACCCACGAATTCGCCGACAACACCTTCATATATAAGAGGACTGCAGATCTTGGCCAACTGTTGGTGCCGGCTAACCACGTGGTTGCAGCCTTTCCCACTTCCCTCTGGTTCCTCGCCGCTCTGAGACGTTTTCTCTTCTTCGAGAGCAAGCAAATCCTACGTGGCGGAGCGTCACAACCCTGGACGACCATTGACATTATAATCACGTGATTCGAACCTCTGAAACTGCATAAACTGGCGCAGCGAGCGGCTTGCACCTCACGCAAGCCCTTTTTTTCCTTTCGCTCCTCATCGATCGCAGACTTCCTGCGGGCAAGTGCAGCCTTCATCCTGCCAGCTGAGAGAGCTGGGTGGGGGGGATTGGGGGGGGGGGTGCCCGTCACCTCCCCCCGGCCACTCACGCCGAAAAGACGGCGTCCTCGGACAAACCTGAACGTTTCCATTAGCGCTGCGCAGCGCACAAATGTCAGGTCTTTAATTACAAGGTGACCATCGTACCGCAGATCAATGGGGCGTTAATGGTTACATTTGCCGGGGCTCAATTGAAAGTTGGCCACAGGCAACCCGAGCTTCTGCCTGTGATCGGGCAGCAAGGGCTCAGCCACGTGATAGCGACGAATCAACTGTTTTAAATTCCCCGCAGCCCACAATGATGCCACCGGACGGACTTGCGGGCACAATGCCCACAGCAAACGACAGTTGAAGGCAACAGCGGCAAAATAGGTCCACAGAAGCGGACCGGACGGGTGTCACTGTGGAATAATTTGACGCACGAACGCAATGCCAACAGCTTCTCCGTTTACAGAAATAGGCGGAGGGAGACCTCCGGAGTGGCCCGCGGAGCCACGAGACCTCGCAGAGCCTGGGATGGAGAGGAAGACTCACTGCTGGGAAAAAATATATCGGTTTTATAGCCAGCCAAGCACACACATTGCCGTGAGGTGCAGACAGAAAGTCTGGTGACATGATCTACGGTAACCGGGCCTCGGTCCATCAGACTGCGTCGTCTCAGTTGCAGCACTGTGTTCAACCCACAAACCCCCCCCCGGCCCTGCCCCCCCCCATCTTCCCACCCCCCCCCGTACCCCGCCCTGCCCCCCATCTTTCCCAACTTACCCCCCCCCTTACCGTCCCGAGGCATTGTCGCAAATCAGATTCGGGATTCGATTCAAGAATTTTGGCGAACGCAAATGGCCGCTCGTGTTTGCCGGGGTCACGTGAACTCATTACAGGCAATGCACAAAGAGAAAAGAACATCGATCCTTGCACATGGGTCGCGAGTTCATGGCTCGAATTCACATGAACGAGTTGTTGGTGCATTGGAAGCCTCGCGACGGAAGGCATGGTCATTTGAATTCGCCCGTGATCAAAGTTTCCGTCGCCCACGTATTTCTGCAATCGTTTCCTGGACAAGTGGCGATTGTGAAAGTTGCTGGGTTTTTCACCATTTGTGTCTCGTGATATTTGAGCGTGGACACCAAAGCTGGGGATACGCGTGTACGTAAATGCACGTGTGTTAAACTTCTTTCGTACCGTACGTAGACAACCGTGCTAATTGGAGTTTTGGTCGTCGTGACCTCCACAGCAACAGGCCACGGGCAGCGGTCCTTGCGGCCTGAGGTTCAAGGCCCATGTTGGCCCCAAAATGGGGCCTCAGATAACCATGGGTGCCCTCTCATTTTTCTGAATTAAAACGTTTCAAATGTGGGATTTAGGTTATCACATCGGCATTACTCTTGTGACTGATGCCACGGCGCGACCGACGACAGCATCGTGCGCACCGTGGGCTGCTGTATGAATAAAAACTCGGCCACGAGGCTCGGTGGAGACGGCGTTCGGCATGGAGGATAAACCACGAGCCGGCTTGCGCGTCGCCCAAACGTGCACTCGTTTCACCTCGCCGCGCACGCGCGCACACACACACACACACACGCGCGCGCGCACACACACACGCGCCCCAGGGGACTCTGGTTAAGGTGTAAACACTGTCGAGCTCGCAGGGTGATGGACACGTGAAGCGCGCAACGAGATTTTACGTCCTTCAACATCACACATCAACGGCCCAATTACGTACCGCTGCACGCTCGCCTCGATCGAGGGGTTGAAGGCGAGCGGCCTGAGCGGGCGACCGAGCGAGCCGTCCTCGTTGCCGCTATTCTGACGCGCGGCTGTTTTTATCCTCCTCCTCCTCCTCCTCGAAATGTATTTTTAATACGCGGCGGTGGCCCGGCGCACGCAGGCGGTTGATCACAGCGGCCGTGCCCCCCAGCCCGCTCGCGGGGAGGCGGAACCTAAAAAGGATTCCGGCGGAGTCCTCCGGAGCAAAGCGGCGACCTTCGCAGATGAAAGCGACGGGGCTGGGAGCCCGCGGTCGCTTGTCGCCGGCGGAGGAACGGCGCGCGCGGGACGACAGATCCCGCCACGCCGGTGACCTTGCCAGGCACGGCCCGTCGGCGACGCCACGTGCGCTTTCATTTTCTCTTTCCCCAGGGGATTAATTTTTTTTTGATTTTCAGCCGAATGAGCGAAACGTCAGAACGTGCGTCGGGGACGACTGTGGATGAGGATGATGTTGTTGTTGTTGTTGTTATTGTAGCTCGCCGTGGAAACCCGTGGCTTCGGGGAGGCAAGGGAGAGGCACGTCTCGGGGGTTAAACCTGGAGGGGAAGGGTGAGCTCCATTCCTTCATGGCCGCTCTGCACCAAGGACCCCTTGCTTCGTGCGCTACCCGACATTTAGCATGACAGCATTGTTTACTAAACATCGATAAAAATTACTGTTATTAGCTGTATGCTGTTGTGTCTAAACGCCTGCAATTGCACCAGCATGCTGTGCAAGGCATTGTGAGTGGTGCACGCGCACCTTTAAGAAACACACACGTCCATCAACAAACACTGAGGCCTTAAAAGGAGAACATGTATAATAGGTGACGTTTCGGGAAATAGCCCTTTATGTGCTATGAAGAAGGACTGTTGTTCTTTTAATGCCACACAGTGTTACTGACGAAATATGTTGAGTTTTTACTTATTTGTGTATAAATATAAAAATAATTTAAACATATAAGGCAGCCTTAAACGATCGTTCTCAGGGCGCTAAAAGAGCACGGACAAAAGCAAACGACACAACGGCAAAATCCGAATGATTCGCTTCAAACATCTCCAAATATTCTGCCCGCGAATCGGAGAGGAGAGATCTCAACCCCGACCATCACCAGCACCCATCGGGCAAGAGAGGGAAGGCAACGCGGCCCAGCCTGGCAGGGGGAAGTTCTGCGCCAGGGCACCGTGGGGATTCGAGAGCGAGCCTCGCGCGACCTAAGACGTGTGACCTAAGACGTGTGACCTAAGACGCGTGACCTAAGACGTGTGACCTAAGATGCGTGACCTAAGACGTGTGACCTAAGACGCGTGACCTAAGACGTGTGACCTAAGATGCGTGACCTAAGACGTGTGACCTAAGACGTGTGACCTAAGACGCGTGACCTAAGACGCGTGACCTAAGACGCGTGACCTAAGACGCGTGACCTAAGACGTGTGACCTAAGACGTGTGACCTAAGACGCGTGACCTAAGACGCGTGACCTAAGACGCGTGACCTAAGACGTGTGACCTAAGACGCGTGACCTAAGACGCGTGACCTAAGACGCGGGACCTAAGACGCGCGACCTAAGACGTGTGACCTAAGACGCGTGACCTAAGACGCGTGACCTAAGACGCGGGACCTAAGACGTGTGACCTAAGACGCGTGACCTAAGACGCGTGACCTAAGACGCGTGACCTAAGACGCGTGACCTAAGACGGCGACTCGCGACGTCGCCGAGGCTGCGTTGGCCACGTCGTCTCTTTCCGTGTCGCTCGCTGCTGTGACCACTGAGGCCGGGCGAGGTTGTCAGCCACTGCCACGAGCTGGACGCTCGGCGAGGGTGGAGGTCAGTCAGGGGGTCAGGGCCGGGAGACGTCGCGCGTTGCTCGTCGACGTTCAAGTACGACAATAAAAAAAGCCGGCGTCCACTCGGAGGAGCCGTAGCCGATGTGACGAGAGGACACGGGGCTGCTTCGTTGAAAATCGGTCTTCGATCGATCGCTTTTAGTCTTTCCGATTGATTTTATTGTGCCCTCAAAAAGGGCCATGTACCAAAATATCGGCCTATTATATATATTTTGTCACGGCTTTCAATATTAAGGCCAGGCACAATTGGAGGCACTGCACAGAGAAGAGGCAGCCACTGGTAGCAAAGAGGTGGAAGGTCACAGTGCATTGTTAAGCATCGAACAGCACTCATCGCTGAGAGTAAGTTACGCGTTGATTGTTTCTAATCGATGCAACAATTCCACTATCCAGTAAAACTCCAATTATTATACATGACAATTTCGCAATGGCTCGGCACGGCATCTTGAGTTGTAGTTTGATTTTAACACCACTACAAAGGCAAAGATCCCCCGCATAGCCTGAACAGACTGTAGAAGCAAGTGCTGTTAGTGAGCACCTATAAAGTTCGGCACGGCACACGTGGTGACGGATGGCCAACACCACGCCCGGCCGCCCAGAACCGGTTCAGACAGTCGTCACTGATGTTGGCCATGAGCGGGAATCGAACCCGGGTCGCCAGGCTCATAGCGCAGCGTAGCGCTCACCGCTACGCTAACACACACACACACAGCAACAGAACTGCACCAAACAGAGCCTCCAGCCGGCAGCACCGGGCAACTCACCGGTCCAGGAAGTCGGCGAACGGGAGTCGCGCCGGGAATCCGAAGCGGCGCAGGCGGACGGTGTGCAGCACCCGCGCGTGCCGCAGCTGGGCCGACACAAGCTCGGCCTCGAAGGCGTCGGGCCGGCCGGCCTCGTTGGGACGCACGCAGCGCAGGTGGTGCTGGGTGCAGCCGACCAGCCGCAGCAGCGCGTCGCTCAGGGACATCTGGTGGCACGGGGTCGACACGGGGGCGGGTACGGTCACTCGGGTAGACAAGAGTCTCCAACATGGGTGAAGGAATCAATGAGGTAAGTTCCCTGGAACAGTAACCAAGGCAGTAGCGATAGGAGAGCGATAAAGGAGGCGACCGATCGCCGGAGAGCGAGTCAGTGAGTGCTGGATCATCAATGACCGTGACCGATTGCAGAAACATTCTAGAATTATCATCAGCAGCACCCATTATGAGTCCACAGTTTGATGAAGAAGTCCAACCCGTCAGCATCCCGCATAATGCTGCGATCTAACCCTCCATTAGCTGATGTCATCGCTCCGGTCTCAGCGATGGACATTGTCCAAGGTGCGTTCCCTCCCTCGGCTGTCACTGTTGTTACTCTCATCCCTTCGCGCAATGTCTCCTGCCCAAACTCACTTACGTAATTATAGCAGCAGACGAATTTTTCAAGTTAAATCAACCACTAACTTATTGAATTTTCCAAACATTCCAATGCAGCACCCTCCATTTGAATGCCCTGAGACTTGGCGAGTCTTTGCTGGATAAATAAAGGAACATTATTCTTACTGGCACATCAGCTGGCACCAAACTCCTCTCTCTGGCCCATGTAGCGGTCACCACTCCCTGAGCACTTCCTGGGCACGGCCGTTCGTGACCCCACCCCACCCTCCGTAAGGTCACGCTCGCGGCTCGGCATCTCCGATAAATTCACTCACAAGAGCGGCGAGCACAGGTGACGGCACGGGGCGGGAATGTGACGGCCACCGGCGGCGACGATAGCGTCGAGGGTCACGCGAAGCGACCGAGCACTCTGCACCGTCAAGCTCCATGGGGGGGGGGGGGGGCAGTGTTGGGTCTCTCGCCTGTAATGCCTCTCTCAGCAGGGGGCTGATGCCTCTGCCCCGAAGCCGTTTGCTCTAATGTCTGGCGGTGTCATCGATCAGCTCTGGCCTCCGCTTTTTTCCGATGACACCACCCACGGGTATGGCCCAGAGTTATTGCAACGTTTACACACATATTTTGTAATTTCTGTATCTCAGTGAGCAAGATTTTTTTTTACAGTAAAAATCCGGGTATTTTTAATCATCTCTTGGCAGGATAAATATGAGAGGTGGGATTTAGACTGATGTCATAACGTGCGCTCCGTGTTTGCATAAATGAAATATGTGCTGCACGTGCCCGTGATTTGTATGTTGAGCTAGAATGTTTATTCATGTTGCTGAGTAAAGATATCTTGTGCATTTATGTGTTTATTTTCTATATTGTTTTTTGGTCTTATTTCTATTCATAATTAAATTTTGCTTCCAGTGTCACGTCACGGGATGGAGTGTTCATTCAGACCTCTCTCTCTTGTGGAGCAGTGCATACCCAGTCTGTTATAGAATGACCCGCAGAAGGAGATATCACAGAACCACTTCTGAATTCTTTTCACGTTACGTTTTCTTCCCAACACAAAAGGGAATGCTGCACTATTCCATATTCCTTGCCAAAAAAATATATTTTGCCTAGAAATCAAGCAGATGTCTTTTTTTGTGAAAATTTAAATTTAACATACATGTTTGTTGTGCAGTCATTTGTGACCAGGCTGAAACCATGAACTCATTACAATTGGGAACCGTATTAAATCATGGCGGTGGGTGCTTGGATGCGAACCCAGGATCTGAATGGTGCCGGGCACAGCGCTTTGAACCCTGGGCCACCCGGCTAACTCCATTACTTTCCCATGTGTACGGAATACAAAGTGTGGTCTCCCGGATAAGGTCGCGAGTTGATCATTTATTCTCTGAAGCTCTCTCCACGTGCTAACACAGACATCTGCAGGTGCTGATGAGGCCCATACTGCGCTCGGTTTAGCGCACAAACCCTGCCCCCGGTAGAGCTACTACATTCACCACAATATCAGAAAGAATCGATGCTTGAATTGAATCGTGATCATGAATCATGAAAATGTGCCAAATCACACGGGGGGTAAAATCGTTCTGGAGCTCTACTAGACTGTGCAAATTACCAGCTGCACATGATAACAGGGGTGGCACGGTGGTGAGATGTTAACTACCTCTCCTGGTATAAGGGAGGTCGTGCGTTCGATCCCGACCCTGACGCCTGCTTTATATTTGGAGTTTTCCTGCTCTCACCGTGGTCGTGTGGATTTTTCTCCGCCGGGCTCTCTAGTTTTTCCCTCCCCATTTAGAAACAGGCATTCAGAGTATTTGGCCACGCACATTTCCACATGATAATACACTTCCTCGGGCTATCATTTGTGGCCACGTCGCTTCTAAAATGGAGCGACAAAGCTCAGTGGGCCTTAACTGGTAAAAAAAAAACTGATTCTGGTTTTCATATTCTTGTTTTTACGGTAAAGTCACATAGAAGGGAAACAATAAAATAATAAAAATATAAAAAAAATAAAATTCTCACGACGTTTCGACTGCAACACAAGCAATCATCATCAGGTGTGAAAACCACAGCAAGAAATTTTGAAAAAAAGTGGCGTTTTAACCAACACATACTTCACTTGGAATGGAACTTTCTACAAACAAACTGAGGGCACCCCAATGGGCTCCCCCCTATCTCCGGTTGTAGCCAACATTTTCATGGATAAATTTGAGACTGACGCCATTCAGACTGCCACTCTGTGCCCAACCCTATGGCAGAGGCACGTGGATGACACTTTTGTCATCTGGCCACATGGCCAGCCTGCTCTAGACCAATTCCTCGACCACATCAATTCCATACACCAAGTCATCAGATTTACCATGAAAGTCGAAAAAGATGGCAAGCTACCTTTTTTGGATGTCCTAATAAAAAAGAGACCTGATGGTTTAATGAGCCACTCAGTCTACAGGAAAGCTACCCATACGGATGCTTACCTGAAACCGGATTCCCACCACCATCCATCCCAGAAGAATTCCCTCATCAAGACTCTGCACCATAGAGCCCAATGCATATCCGACCAGGAACACATAGCCAGTGAACTCAAGCACGTACACCAAGCTCTTAAGGCTAATGGTTACTCCGACTATACAATCCGCAAAGCTATCACTCCAACCATGAAGAAGGACCCTTTTGAGGAGCCATTCAAAACCATCACTTTACCCTACATTGCGGGGATCACAAAAACGATCTCCAAAATCTTGAATAAACACAAGATCCAAGTCCGATTCAACACATTACATAAAATCCGTGATCTGGTTCCGTCTGTCAAAGATGTGTTTCCGGACATACAGTACCCTGGCGTCTACAAACTAAGTTGCCTCTGTGGTAGTAGTTACAGTACATTGGAGCAACCAAACGACATGTCTCGGACCGCATCCGTGAACACAAAGCAGACCTAAAACACGGTAGGACCAACACCTCGGCCGTGTTAGATCACTGTTATAATTCAGTAGGCTCACATGGCATTGACTTCTCCAAGACAGAGGTTCTCTGCAAGCCATCTGGCTACCATGAGGCTATCCACATATACAAACACAGATAAAATTTCAACCGAGAAGATGGATTCTGGCTTAGCAATCATTGGAAGGATTTGATCAATCATTTCGGGTCTTAATTAATTGTTCACACTTACGGTGGCTTTCAGACCGCATCCATTATTTTCGTTTCCCCTCTCCTCGTTTCCGAACATAGATGGACTCGTCCATCTGAACAAACTGCCAAATCGCTCTCCGTGGTGCTAACGTTAAAAAAAATCGCCATTTTTTCATTTTTTTCGTGCTGTAGTTTTCACACCTGATGATGATTGCTTGTGTTGCAGTCGAAACGTCGTGAGAATTTAATTTTTTACATTTGTATCGTTTCCCTTCTACGTGACTTTACCGAAAGAACCAAGAACATGGATTCCTGCAGTCACGAAAGCTTCAAATCAAAATTTGATTATGGTTTATGCGTAAGCTCCTGCCCCTGTCATCATCAGCAGGTGTACTCACCCGCAGCTGAGAGGTAAGTGTCAGCTCCTGCCCATGCTCCAGGCTCTCAGCCAGGCTACTGCCCTCACCCTTCTTCTTGAGCAGCTGCAGGAGGAGGAAGGATAGAAAACAGCGACAACACGTTAGGAGTTCGCCGATACGACCGCCATCTAACAGGTGCGACGCGCGCGGCAAGTACGACCAGCACGGTTTGGCTATGTACGGTGCGAAAGAAGTTCAACATACGTACACTCGTGTACGATGAGGGTTACGCACCAATGCATCTGTTTCATGCAGAGTCAAGGTCAAGACGTCATCGTGGCCAAAGCTGTAGATGCCACCACCACACCTCGCTCAAACGCACTCTACCCTCCGCCAGATCCCAGGTATCGGAAAAAAGTTTTGGTTGAGTGTGTACGAGTCGCGGTAGCGTGTGATGCCACTTGAGTGATTCAGCAGCATGCCGTGGATGATGTGTGGATGATGTGTAGTGAAGAGCAGTGTGTGATGTCACTGCAGTGTGACACATTCATTCCTTAAAACATTTCACCTGGATAATTGCTTCAGATGGAACACCTCATTTGCACAGGTGTCCAGGGTGCTAGCTCACATATACGTAGCGGGCACGTATCGACGCGGGGAGAAACATTTCAAATCTATAACTTGTTGCTTTGCTGCGAAAAGGCACGGCGGTGCCCACCGCAGCCTCACTTGGCTGGAGCCATCGTGAAGCCGGTGAGATCATCTGACAAAAACAAATTTGAAGCATCACATCTTCCAAAGCATTGCAGCTCGCGAGCTGCACCTGGCGCAGCCCAGTTGGACCCGGAGCTCGCCTCGTCACCCCGCATCGGACGCCGAAGCGCGGTGCGTTCGCTCGCACGACGGCGTAACCGCGTATCCGCACTTGCAGCGACGAGCGGCCGCGCCCCGAATCGTTCATCGCTGCAGCGGCCATCGCATTCCGCTACCGGCCGCACCGACTCGAACTCGGATCGCGCGGTTACGAGATGCACGGACGCCTCTCTCTCTCACGCTGGCCGCCGAGAGTGATTCCCGCGGCGAATTATCTTCGCGGAACTTCCTCCCCCACCCCTCCCCCCCACGCTTTTGAAGCAGCCGTGCGCAATTAGGCGCCTGCCCGATTAACCGAAGCTAATTCGACCGCGGACCGCGGGCGTGTCCGGCGCGTCGCAATGGCGCTCCACGGTCCGCGCGAAGGAGCGGCTAACGGCTCGCTTATTGCTTCCCATCGATCAGTGGCCCCCGTGGTTCCGGTGGGGGGGAGGGGGGGGGGTCCTGGCGAGGGGGGCTAGAGCAGCGGCGGCGGGTTAGTGGCCGTTGTCTGACGGAGTCGACGCGGCTCCGCTCGTCGCGACGAGCGGTCGCGACGAGCGGACAAGCGGCGGGGTCAGGCGCGGCACAACAGGGGCGGGAGGAGGACCCTGCCTCGCTTTGCCCAACACGCATGAAGATATAATAAAATACAATGATGCCACATTGTGCCATGAATTGTACGTTTTTGGGAAGTGTTATTAAGTTATTAATAGTCGTATTTTCTAATTTAAATTCCTTACAGGGCAAAGCCCACTCAGCTATTAACTTGTTTTCAGGGGCAACCTGGCCATACATGCCATACATAACAGCTCATCGAAGTGGCTATATCATCATAATCACACGTGGGAATTTATAGCAGCAGCCAAATAAGGGAAAGGCTTGTTTCTAAATGTCGAGGGGGCGAGGGGGTGGCACAAAACTGGAAGGACCCGGGGAAAAATCCACGCGATCACCAAGGTGAGAGAGAGAACACGCTAACTCCAAATATACAACATTTGGGTCATCTATATCATGGGGCCTCCTTGCCATTTCCAAAATTTGAGAACAGGTTTTCCCCTTTTATCTGGCAATAAAACAGGTGTTAAGTTGTTAAAGCACCAAACTGAAACCTTTTACAAAGAATTAATTCCTTTAACAAGGAATCAGTTTCGTGTTTTAACAACTTAACACCTGTTTTGTTGCCAGATAAAAGGGGAAAACCCGATTCTGATACAACACATGGGTCCGGGATCGCACCAACGACCTCCTGCGCCCCAGGTGAGGGAGTTAACATCTCCTCGTCTGAGCGACGCCCCGAAGCTCTTTTATCCATGGCAGGATGAAGGCATCATCATACCTCACCACTGATGTTAGATATTAATCATCACTGATGTTAGCCGTGGTGGCCGGGGATCTAAAGCAGGTCACTGGGTTGACTGTGCAGTGCATTTTCTGGCTTGCCATCGAAGATAGTCACCGCATCGCGCGCTTTCAGATGCGCGTTTGCAGCCGTCTGGAACGCTCTTCCTCCCGATATTCGGAAGCCACTGGAGCTATCCTATTTTAACTTATCTAGATTGAAAAGTTATTTCTTTAGAAGTGCTTCTTGTGATTAGTTTGTTGTCATTCCCCCGCACCTATGATTATCATGGTTACGTACGGTGCCAAAGAATTTCAACACACACGTACGTACATTAACCAATGGTCCACTGCTCTGCCTCGCATGCACATTAATAGGTGCTCGCTACCAGCATTGACCTTGAAAGTCTAACCAGTCCAAATACTCCGAGAGTTGGAGTGTCCCCAGGGTCTTCACACCTGGTGTTGTTTTATTGTTCTGCATTAGTATAATTGTCTTCGATGTGCGCGCTACACGGATATATAGTTACACCGTACAGAATCTCGAGATGGTCTTTGTATTTCATTCATTATTCATATGTTAATGATTATTAACGCCCTCTGTATATTATGCGTGCGTGTGTAAGGTGTGTGTGTGCGTGTGTGTACAGAGCTTTGGCAGAGCAGTGGAGTGCTGCGCTTACGAACCCGGCGATCGGAGATTGATGCCCGCTCACGGCCGACACCAGTGACGATTATCTGAGCTGGTCCTGGCCCTCCCCTAAGCCGACTCAGCCTCAAATGAGTACCTGGTGGCATGTGTAAAACATCACCACGAGGGAGACAAAGGCGGCTAGGCGTCGTGCCTGCCCCCAACCCCCTCGTGTGCCGTGCCGGCCTTCACAGGTGCTACTCGCTAACAGCACTTGCCCCAACAGCCTGTTCAGGCTATACGGGGGATCTTTGTCTTTGTGTATGTGCGAAGCTTTGATGGAAAATTGAAAGTCTTTTAATGCACGTTGCGAAGGAAAGTGCAATTAATTCTGCACGCTAGCTCGTACGCATTTATCTCCGCGTGTCGGCTCGCATGCATGATTGCGTTGCGTGTGTGCACGCGTTCATCCACTCGTTACTGCACGTGTTCATTTCAGATTGCATTCAAAATGTTGTGTCGAGACGTGTGTATCGTTGCGTTTTCTGAAACGTGTGCAACGTGAGGAACGCGTGGACACGCGCACAATACACAACACGCTTCAGACGCTTGAAAACATTCAAATAACATTTTTTTGGGGTTTAAAGTCAGCGTTTCCTTGTTCATGCAAATGAACGATAGTGCTAATTTGTGTTTACACTACTCCCCCCTCCCCCTCCTATGGAATTTCCATGATGAAAATGCCATGATGGAATTGCCACCGTTTTCACCGGGAGCAGTCGATCTGAAGCACAGGCCTCTGCTGCTTCCCACGAGACGGGAGTCGATACATCAACGGGGGAGAAAAAAAAGTACGGGCCGAGTGAAAGTTAAAGTGAGCAAACCTTCCCATGTGCGGGTCAGCTGCTGGGCCGCTGTCGGGCAAGTCTCCTTTCTGCGAAGGCAAAACCACGCAGTGGGACACGAGACACCATCGCCTGGCGGGACGGACACGGTCACTAAATGTTTGCGAGTACCCCGGATATCGGAGCGCCGGCCTTCAGACGGTGCGTGCGTACAGTATGTACGTTGAACTTTTTTCACGCCGTATGTAGCCAACCGTGCTAATCGGAGGTGCCGATGAAAGACAACAAACTAAACACGAAAAGCAGGTCTCAAGAAATGAGTTTTCAATCCGTGCCTCGCAGCAAGGAGCACCTGGGTTCAATTCCCGACTCACGCCGCCCTTCCGTGTGGAGTTTGTAGGGTCTCCCCATGTTCTGCGTGGATTTTCTCCGAGTTCTCCGATGTCTTCCCATAGGTAAAAACACACTGTGTCATTATTTGGTGTCGGCCGAACAACCCAAAGTAGGAGCCTCCTGTCCCCAGTGTGAATTTTCAGTGGGTAAATAAGGAAAAAAAACCCTAAAAAGTTCCAGTCCTGGTCTGTCCAGCGCCAGTCGTTTGGACTTACACCAGGATGTGGACACGCTACTTGCCGCTCTCAGAGCCAGCATTTAACGGTTCTCTGCTCTCTATCAAGGAGAGGGTTGGAGCCACGACTGCCGGACCCACGAGGCAGCCCGGGTGAGGGCTCTAAGTAAGAGCAGTGTTCCTCTTATTCAAGCACTACACTTACAAATCAAATATACAGTCGATCATTGATCATCCGGCGCTTGATTATCCGGCTGCATCCAAGATTATCCAGCGGTCCCGGTCCGATCCGGTGAAACCGGCAAAACCGCTCCAAAGGCTGTAACCAGTCCTGTGGTTGTCAAACACATCATGTTGTTGAGACAAGAGCGTAAGAGTGCGTACACCCCCCTTGCAGAGTCTTCAAGATTGGAGTGGTAAGTACTGTATGTTAGAGTAAATACCGTGACTTTTTACTGAATGCAGAGTCACACCATCACCCGGCACAGAAATCTGCTCTCATCAGAGACGCTCATTCATCGAGCGAAGAAAGTGTCAGATGGTGAGAGTCTGAGAAGTGAAATTCAACATGTGAAAGAAGCGCTGAAAATGAACGGCTACAATGATGCACAAATAAACAGGGCATTGAATGCCAAAACCAAATCAAATAACCACGAGCATTGAAACTGCCCAAGTAATTAAAACGATCAAAATACCATACATTGCGGGAGCAACTGATAAACTAGCCCATGTCAGATTTGGCACGGTACATAAAATACAGAAATAATATATCTGGTACAAAAGATGTATTACCAAAGCTATCAATAGAAGGTGTGTACATGATTAAATGCGCGTGTGGTAAATGTTTTATTAGGCAAACAGGATGAATGATCAGCACGAGACTAAAAGAACATCAGAGAAATATTAAATTATACCAAATACAACTGTCAGCAGTAGCAGAACACGCGTGCCAACAAGGACACTCAATTGATTTTGATAATGTTGAAGTTCTGTGCAAAACTAGCTAATTCGAGAATCTATCCAAATTGAAAGAAATAAACATGACTTTTACTGTTCGGATAACTACCGCCTTAGTGCTGCGTGGAAGCGAATCATCAAATATAACATTATTTAATGCATGCCTATACAGGCCACCATACTACAATAGGGATTACCGTTGGTCCGGCTAATTTAATACACACAATAGACAGAAAGAACAAGTTCAAAGGACTCGCAAAATGCACAATGAACGTTGACTCATTAATCCCCCCTCTCACACTTTGCGCGAGAGCGCAGAAGCGTGATCACCACATCTACGCCTCTATATAAGGAACTAAACAGGTTGACTTCACAAATCTGGCTGCCGCCTGATGAAGCTACTTGTAATTACTGGCGAAACGTCGTACTCAGTTTGTAAATGTTGTGGCTTGGCTCTCCAACACACCGGTGTGCTGTACTAGTGACAAATTGGCATGTTATGTTTACGTGACAACCCTTACTAGTTGGCTGTGTCGGGTGGTGGTAACGGTTTAACGACACATTTATATATATGTATGCGATCTAACCTAAAAAAAACCTCTATTGTGTATGTTTATTTATACCAATTTCATATAGTAAACAAACTTAAAACATACAAAACATACACAACACCTATATAAATAATCTTATGCAAGAATGTGCAAAAATAATCTATTTAAAATCACGATTAATAGTGATTATCTGGTGTTTTTGAAAATCAGGCACCCCCTTCCCTCCGAAGCTGCCGGATAATCGATCAATTACCGTACGTGCATGATTTTATATATTTATGCATATATATTTACGTATAAAATCATATATATGTGTGTATATAACGGGACACGTCGCTCGGAGGGACCTTGGCCGATGGTCAGGGATAATAGAACGCGTCCGAGGGTTCATCCACCACGGAGATGGCGCGGCGGATGAGATCAGCTTGTGTGCAGCTGTGAGAGTCTGGCTGGAAGGCAATGGGGGGTTTGGTATGAAGTCTTATGAGACCGCGTGTGGGCTGATCCACAGGTGTGGGACGGTGACTGTAGTTACAAATTAACATTACATATTTGCCCAAACTGCTTCTTCCTCAACCTAAATCATTAGCCCTAATGAGTCGAACTCCACTGGGAACAGCGGCTTAATTAGCCTGCCATATTCGGTCTAATGAATGCGAAGAAATATTGTAACATATTTGTAATTGTCACTGGAATTTTTAATATATATATTTTTTTCATTCGTCTAATTTCCACGATTGCTGTGGATACCTTAATTAGATTCTAAATTAAGCACAGCGAACCGCTGGCCTCGACAATGGTCCCACATGCCCCCTATTACACCACTGTATATTGTGTTCTGAACTGCGTTCATCATATTCTGTGTGCTGTGCATCGTATTCTGTCGCATCTCAGTGTTCTGTGCCTCTTAATAATTTCAACTCGTAACGCACACCACACAGTATTCACTCGCTCTCAAAGAGAGAGAGAGGATGAATCTCCCTGCGTGTAGCCAACCATGGCAGTCTAATCGCGTACGCCAGTGAGTTGATCAGTGGGTGCTCCCACCCTCTTCCAAGTTGTCTGATCTGCGTGGAAGAGTAGGCCAAACACCCTCTGGAGGGCTAGAGGAAGCTCTAAAAGTGGAGGTCTCTCCTGCGAGGGGTAGGAGGGCAGGTAATTGCAGAGCTGCACCATTTATTTTGGTACACTGTGGTCTGCCTATGTGTAATGACAGGGTGCCACCTATCGGCCTGGAAGGGTCATCGCGGGTTTGTGCAAGGTTATGTAACAACTAATCAGAAGGGGGGCGTGTCTGGGTTAAAGGTAAATGGTGGGGTTAGTCGCACGGCTCCCATCACCGTCATCGTCACACCAGTCAGCCAGCCGTGTGGTTGGATGTAGGCGATGGGACGATGACGAGAGGTCGGCTGTGCGTAGCTAAAGTAGAGACGTGTATATATATATAACCCAGTGTTGTGCCCAGTGTGAGAATAAATGAGAAGATGCCCTCTACACGAAGTGTTTTGGCAGTCGCTCATTACATATCAGAAAGGGTTTTATTCGCCATGAAAGTTCACACAGACACGGAATTTACTTTGGCAGGATGGTGCATACATTCAACATATAGGAATCTAAAATCTTAAATAAGTGGTAAACAAGTCTTACTATAATAAGGGCTCAAAGTCTAACTAACACCAAGGGGCTAAAGTATATAAAATTGAATAAAAATAGAATATAAAATAGCTATAAGATACAATTTTAAAATAAAAAAAATACAAATAGGTTAACATAGTTAATATTGGCAAGGTGTAATTTTGTAGATAAAATTTGACATATGTATGAATGTGAACTTCTTTTGCGCCGTACGTAGCTAACCGTGCTAATCGTGGTAATTGGTACGCGAGTGGCTGCCCCTTTGCGTGCACGCGTGCGTGCACACACATAGCTGCGCGTCGATGCCGTGTACATCGTGGTCCGCATATCATGCAATAAACTAAAAACTCTGACAACTAAAAAACATTTCACGCAACGTTCTGCTGCACGCCCCCAGAACGCATCGTGCTCTGCGTGGCACACCCCATTTCACCACGGGGGTGAGATGTTAACTATCTCGCTCAGTGTACAGGAGGTCGTGGGTTCGATCACGACCCTGACGCCTGCTATCACATTTGAAGTTTGCGTGTCTCTCTGCCCATGGTCACGTGGACTTTTCTCAGAGTTCTCTGGTTCTTCACACCACATGCAGAATGGACGTGCGTTTAGAGTATTGGGCTGCTATAAATATCCACACGATGAAAGCCCACTGCGTTCAGCTATCATTTGTGGTCTGGTCGCTTCTGAAAAAGAGCTGTATAGCTCAGTGGGCCTTACCTTTGAATAGTAATAGTCTTTTTTTATTTAAAGCTTTAGTGACTGCAGGGATTCATATTATTGGTTCTTTCGGTAAAGTCACGTAGAAGGGAAACAATAAAGTAATATTTTTTCATATTTTTATTATTTTATTGTTTCCCTTCCACGTGACTTTACCGAAAGAACCAAGAATATAAATAGTTTATTTCGTTTTTGTTTATGCCCTGTGCCCGTTTTCCGCACGGCGTTATAACCGCGGCATTCACCCCTCCTATCAGGGACGTGCGGTCAGGGGAGGCAGAGCCTCACCTGTCATACTCCAATAAAAATAGCTGTTACGAAAAGTAAAAAAAAAGAATAATAAAATAAATATTACGATTTTTCCACTGATCTGTGTTATGAATGTCGTTGCTGTACGATTCAAATAGTTTTTAGAGTCAAAATCGCCAAATTTGCGGAGCTCCGCTGCAAATACAGCAAGAAGAGACGAGAGGTGAGGCAGCGACGAGCTCAGCCTCCCCTCTGATTGCGCAACCCCTCAGTAACTGGATGGAGCGTGGGCAATAAGCGCGTGCCTGTTACTATCTCTCTGTGTGTCACCAATGTAATGTTTGTAGACCCCTTCATTTAATGTCCTCGCCAGCCCCCTCCCACCCCCCGCCCTCTCCCACCCCCTTCCACCCGCCGCCACCCTCGGGGTCCGTGCCACGCACCTTGCTCGTGAGCGCCGTTGGCTCGCGAGGCCGCGCTGCTGCGGTGGTGGTGGTGGTGGTGGCCGCTGCGGCCGCCGCCGCTGCCTGCGGGTGTAGGCGGCCTGCCTTGGCGAGGCGGAAGGGGAAGCGGTTCCCCGTGGGGGGCAGCAGCGCGCCGGTGGGCGAGAGCCGGGCCTGGAACAGCTGCCTCAGCACCACGTTCTCGCTGGCTGCACAACAGCAGCAGCAACAACAACAACAATAATGATGTCAACACAAGGAAGGAAAATCATGCGCATGGATTCTGTTGTCGTCGCCGTCGTTGTCAGCTTGTGATTTCCCACTGCTTGGAAAAGCCCCCCTCCCCCCCATCCACCTACCATTCTCTCCCATTCCTCCCTTCCCTTAGTTGTCCTTGTCGAGCAGTGAGCCTTGAAACTCTGATTTTTATTCGCTAACTCTTCCGCCAATTCTTCCTCCGCCGTTTTTATATTCCCGTCTTGGCCTTCGCTCTGGAACGTTCTCCAACAGCCGTTTGTCCTCGGATGTGTTTATTAGCAGCACAGCAGCCAATGGGGTAGATGGCAGGCCAAAACGTGTTTTTGCAAAATACATATTTGAAAATGCAGTCATGCTTTCAGCACTGGTTTGTGTTAAAACCTCTTCAACCAATCACTACAATCATCACCATGAAAATCAACCGTCACCATCAAAATCATCGTCACCGCGTTGTCGTTTTATTGGTTCCGGATACACGCGCACGTCACATTATGCAGCCCGCTCACTTACTCTTCATGACAAAGAGGAGGCTTTGAGGGAGCTGGTCTTTGTTCTTTGCTGCCGCCCCCGTGAGGTCGTAGGTGACCTGCGAAGGAAGATACCGGAGGGCGTTTCACGCACAGCTTCCACCGCTCCGCCGGCGCGAATTTCACCGCAGCCAGCTGACGCACCACTCAGGATGCGGATGTGCCCGCTGTAATTCCCAAATCCGAACGGTGGTCCGGAAACGGGACAAGTCAGCCAGCAGTCACGTCGGTCTTAAAAGGACGCTGCCCAAACCGATTGCGTCTCGTGCGCCGCACGGCATCATGTAGGCCCCTTTAGTCGATCCACTGCTGGATGAGGGCCTTTAGGATGGGGCAGCGGTGACTATGCACGTGGCCTGCGATCCACGACTGTGCAGGCATCGAGGGTTGGTGGATCAGAATCAGAATATTTATTTATATTGCAAGATGTTGTGGGCATCAAGCTAGAGCCATGCTCAGTACAGCAAGTGGACTAATCGCCATCTGTTTCCATCTTTATGGGAGTAGAGTACTGCCACGAGCAGGTCGGAACGAGACGCGGGCACTTCTTGAATAACGCCGCTTGTTGGCAAAATCTCACCGTCATCCTAACCGGCCACTGAGAATTAATTGATTGCACGTTAAGGGTACCGCAATTTAATTAACGCTTTATTGTAATGGAGAGCAATGGTCCGGCACACAAAGGCACTTCCGAACGAGACGTGAGAGCCGTGTTTTTCATTAGATTTACACTCCCCCTGGGTCGGGTTTGTTCAAAGAAAAAACACACCAAGCGGCCAATTATTGTGAAATATCAGCGGCGGACAGAGCACAAGCGGGGGCACGCCGTGGGACGACGAGGTCAGCGCCGAGGGTAGCGGAAGGCGGCAACTTCTTGGCTGGACGGCTCTCCAATGCGTTCGCTGGTTGTTTGGCAAGACGTCCGACGTTTCGCTCCGCTCGCTTGGAGCTTCTTTGGAAGTTTAACATTCTACCATAGCTTTCTGAAGAAGCTCCCGGCACTCTGGTCGATTGAATGAGTACCACTCAGTCGGAAATTTAACGGTGGTTATCCTATGGGGAATACCCGCCCCCGCCATAGGAACGTGCAATGCCTACTCAATACTCAATTGAACAGGAAATTCTCCGACTATTAACCCAGGGCGCGGCAGCTGGACTCGGACCGCCAATCGCGGCCGCGTGACCGCCCCACACATCGGGAGAGGCTCGGCGGACAGGGGTCAATACCTCGCCGGCAAAGTGCTTGATGGTGAAATGGGTCTGGGCGTTGCCATTGCGGTCCCTCCCCGGCATGCTGAGCACCCCGTTGGTGTGGCTCCTCTCCAAGGAGCCCTGTATCCTCTTCACCAGGGCCTGGTCTGACGGCTGAGCCGACGTGCTCTCTTCATCCAGGAGATGCAGCATTCCCTGCGGTCTCTGTGTGCCGCCGAGTAATCACAGGGTCATCATTCCCACTACCACCACCACCACCACCCCCGCGCCACTGCAAACTCCGTTTCATTACGATTGTGCTATCGGAGCCTTGTCATGAGACATCCCTCGCACAGCGGTGAAACCCTTCGTGTTAGGGAGCGACCCACGGAAGTGGATATCACAGAACTACCCCTGAGATCTCTTTACTGTGCGGGCCAAACGTCTCTTAGAGGGCGGCACTTTGCCACCCGTTACGCAGGTGAGAGTGATGTTCGTCGCATGGGAGTCTTTAAACCAATATATTCTCAGTTCTGGAATCGCACCTCCAAATTAGCACGGTTGGCTACGTCACGGTGCGAAAAAAGTTTTACATAGATACGAATTAAGCCAAAATTAAATCCAGAACCAAATGTAAAGTGATGGGTATTTTTTCGCAATCATTCGTGACCGGGTTAAGACCATCAACTCACTACATTCGAGAGGCTAGTTTGACCGCAACGCGGCTGCCTGGATTCGAACCCAGGATTCTCAGCGGTGCCAGCTCAGCAGCCCGCCCTGAGCCACGTCCCAGCGGAACTCCGCTTATTTTTCATGGGCGGGGGTCACTCGGGGACGGATTTATATCACGCACGTGTTACCCACGCACAAAATCAAATGCGCACATCTCATGGGTCACATGGGTAGAGCCGCCCACTACTATCGGAATTCGCAGAATGCCCCGGCGTGCGATTGATGAGCCGCCGACCAATCATTGACGCGGGCCCTGCCTACGCAGAGAGGTGAACCCTCAGTGTTCCCGCGGGTCCGTTTCCGCGCACGCGCATGAACGCCGCCCTCCCCGCCGCAGAGAGAATCCCATCCCCGTGTCCTGCGCTGCCCTCTTGTTTAACATCGTCATTTGCAGCCGCTTTAATATGTCCGTGTAGGTGCGGCACGTCGGGGGAGGGGGCGGGGGGCAGTGGGGTAGCAGGGGAACGCAGAATCAATTTCGATTCACCGTCTGAATGTGTGCACCATCTGTGCAGCGCGATCCAGCGCCGCGTAATCTCCCTCCCCCCCCCCCCCCCATTGCGTCCGTACGGGTAGGACGTGTACAGCGCCTCCGCTCAGTCTTATCAACTTGCTGGGGAAAGTGATCTCGGCGAGCCGCTTCTAGACAGAATGTTGCCCTTAATCGTATGCACCGTCCAGACGTGATATGGCTGATGGACTGACTGCGGCATACTTTTTTTTTATTGACTGCTGGCAGGAAAGAGGCGAGGCGCGATTTAAGACACGTGCATTGTCTCAACCTGTGGCAGCATCGCCATGCGCGTTAGAAACGCGAGACACGCACGACACGCGTTGCCTATTACACCTTCGCCAGAGCTGTTCGTTGCTGGCCTCTTGGCAATGTTTAGCCTTTGGGCTTGCGTACAAGAACGACAGCCGTTTGACACATGTACATCTGTAGAAGAGAAGCACGCAAACGAAATCGCAGACAGAAGCACCCGTCAAGAAATGTTGCAAAAGCCCAACGTGCTAAACCAAAACATAACCGGCGCAATTCTCCCGTCTCCGTGTGGGAAACACAAACGCTCATCCCTGGCACAGAACCCAATTAAGACGGCGGTGGAGGCGGCAGTGGCACCTGGAAGAAAAAGTCGAGGAGCCGCTGGTTGCCGTGGAGACCGACGATCTCCGTGGCGACGCCCTCCTGGGCGCATTGGGTCTGCTCCAGCGCGAAGAGATGGAGCTCGGTGTGCTGCTGCAGCCGCTCGCTCGCCAGGTTCACGCACAGCTGACGTGCCGCGCACACGCAACGCACACACACGCACGCGCGCGCAACACACACGCACGCACGCGCGCACGCACAGATAGGCACCTGCACGCGTGTAGATTGGCGCATGCACACTGGCATGCACGCACGCTGAAGAAGGTCGGCACAAATGCACGTGCATTTGTGCACGTGCATTTGTGCACGCGATGCATTAATACGCAGATAGGCATTTGTATACAGAGGCACACGCACACAGGCACATGCACACAGGCACACACACACATATATATGTGTGCACTTGTACACACAATTGCATACAGGAATGCATGCATACGCAGATAGGCACTTGGACACACAGGCACATGCACGGATCTTCTACAAGCTGACATGGAGATGCTACGATTGGGTCGATAGAATGCTAAAATATAATTCATAATAAAGGTTTTTGGGTTAGATCGCGTTTATTTATAAATGTGTCGTAACCCTCCACCACCCGACACGGCCAATCAGCAAAAAAAGTGTCACGTTGACAAAAGACAAATAATTCACTACTTCAGCCTTTGTCTTTTGTCAACGTGACACTTTTTTTTGCTGATTGGCCGTGTCGGGTGGTGGAGGGTTACGACACATTTATAAATAAACGCGATCTAACCCAAAAACCTTTATTATGAATAATATTGGTCGCGAGAGCCTACGTGTTAAACTGCTAAAATATAACTTACATAAACACCGTGTGAACAAATTAGACAAATGTATGTTTTTCCTATCAGCATGGAGTAAAATACAACTTAAGGTTTGGCCAATTGGCCTTCTTAAGCGAATATACATTATCGTTCCACACGAATGTACATATTTATATATATATTACTCATACATGAGTGTTTCAAGATATAGCTTCTTTTTACTATTAAAAACATTTACTAAAACATCTATAGCCAATTTGCCCACATAGGCAGCGTCTACTGAAACAATCGTGTGCAGGCAGGCCACACGACTGCTCCGCTGCTTTCAAAGCACTCGTCAATGTCCCACCAACTTGGCAGCCACAGATTCTTCTTGACGTCCCAACAGATTAATGAATCCAAAGAGTCTGGGTCTGGCCTGTGTGACAGGTGCTCCAGAAGATCCCATTCAAACTGTCCCAGACAATTATTGCACCACCGCACATGCAGCGTGCAGATTAGGGTTTGCCAACTATGACTTGAAGATATTCCGGGAGATTTTTTTTCTTCTTCTAATTAATGTATTTTATGTAAATATCCGATTAAAATCTCTTTCAATAGCCACCGGGAGGTCGATGCAAATTCCGTCCGGTAGAGACTCCGGCCAATCCTGGAGGGTTGTCAACTCGAGTGTAGCGGTACATGCTTGTTATGGAATTCCATTAGCTTTTTCTTTATGATTATTATTTTTAAAGAAGATGCATTTTTTGATAAAGTCAGGCATTTTCCAAAATCAATCTCGACACAAGCCCGCTTTGGGTGAAGTTGCAGCAGCAACTGGGTCATCACAAAAATGGTTAATGCCTCGATTTCTACATTTCTTTGATACAATATCAATTGTATTTACATCCTCAGAGTTCAAATGACAAAATAGCTCGTCGCCGTTCTAATATGCAGATGGGCAACGGTTCCACCCTCTCTGATCACGTTACGAGTCTGCCATCTAGTGGCAGATTTGGGAAATAAATATTGCACGCGTACTGGGCATCATACTATATTTAATGTACAATTTTACAGAATTATTATCTTTACGTGATAAAATATCCAATCCAGTTATGTTGAAATAATTGGGGAAAAAATGGCTGTAAGAGTTAAAAGATACACTTTTGTAACATTTCAATTCCCTTTGTATTTGTATTTTCTGGAACAGCCCTTACTGGTATACAACTGCACACACTGATCCTCAAACCTTGACCATTAAATATAATTGTATAAACAGTTGTAGCTCAGTGACAGCTACTTACAAGTGCTCCACTATTGAGGCCACTAGATTTTCCCAATCCATTATGATATTGTCCGAAGAGCATGTGGTCCTTGGTTGTGAAGCCAGCTCACCCCTACCTATAGGCCCCACCCACCCGCTACGTACTTTCCCGCACCTCCGATAAGCACGGATGACCACGCGCCGTGCGAAAGATGTTCAACACACACACACGTACCACTGCTACCCCTTCCACCCCCCCCACCACGACCAAAACCAGCCCAACCCCGCGTCCAGAGGAGGGGGCGGGGCCTAAACAAAAATAGGCGGGGCCTAGATAATAAGGGGCGGGACCCTGCACGAACGATAGCCCGGTTCCACCCCTCTATGATCGAGATTCGAGTTCGCAACCTGCCGCTCGTGAGCCGAGTCCTCTACCCACCATACCACGAGGCTGGAGGGCTAATATTGCTGGAACGCACAATTCAGAGCGATGGGAGGGCACAAAGTGTGGGGAGACTGGCAGGCGAGAAGGGAGAGCTCTGCCAATAAAACCGGGTACGATGATGACCAGCGCAACATTTTCTCTCTTCACACGTCCGCAGGCGCAGCCGGATGGATGGCTAACGGTCGTTTACCTGCTCAAAGGAGTTCTTCTGAAATCGCTCGAAGCCGCATATGTTGAGGATGCCAATTTCCGTCGTGGGTTCGCTGCAACACAAAGTGTACCGGCGGTCAGGGCAGGAGACATCGCAAGAGCGCCTTCACCGCCGCAACGTCTTTAGATGGCACAGCGACCACGCTGCACCTGACTGGACTGCCCAGCGTCTAAGGGACAGCATGCAAGAGTAAATGCCCAGTGTTTATGTTTTAACATGATATTGTTACGTATGTGCAAGCATGTTGAACTTCTTTCGCACCGTACGTAGCCAACCGTGCTTATACGGAGGTGAGTTTAAAAAGAACGAAAGCACGTGCGAATTGCGCTATGTGGCACACTGCTGCCGTTTGTGTCTGCTGGCCGGGTTGTTCTTGCAAAAGAGCAGTATAGCTTGACGGGCTTCACTGGGGAAAGACACTTTCTGGCGTCCCATTCCGGTCGATGCAGCCAAAGTTATTTCTTCCACGGGTGTCATAGTCTTGACTATAACAACCCACACTGCCCAATGGAGTCAATCGAATCAAGTCGTCATTTTTTTGGGGGGGCTTAAAAAACAAATACAGGGTGCTTCAAAAAAATGCGAACACTTACATGGGAATATCGTTTTTAATGGGAAAAAGAACGGATAGTAATACACTGTGACATGATAACCAATGTAAATATTAATAGCGTGAGAATGTCTAAGAGTCTCCCACGTGTTCGCCATCGTTGTCAACGCGTTGCCTGGAATCTCCTCCAGGTGATCTCCAGAGCCCGGAGGCAGCAGCGCGTCTCTCGTGGTGTCGTTGCAAATTCTCTGAAGTGTTCACAATTTTTGTAAGCACCCTGTACATGAACAAGTATAATGATGCCTTTTTGCCAGTATCAAATATGTGCATTGCCTTTGAAACTGATTTGGCCTCGTCTCACCACCAGTGTTACACCAGAGAACGCTGAAAGGCAAACAGTACAAAGACAATGCACGTATGAGAACATTTACAGATTGGGGTGAGCAGCTATTTAATGGGACCTCTTTGCCAATATGAAAGTATATCTGCAGTATATCATGTTTATTTGCATGATCACCACAAGTACTGTGTGTGGTTAATGCAGACTTGATTCCTTGCAAAGGGTATCCATTTGGTGTTTGAACATCTTAACATCTCCTTACTCTTTGGTTCTTTCGGTAAAGTCATGTAGGTAGAAAAATAAAAAAAATGAAAAATATTTTAAAAAATATTTTAATTTTTTCTACCTACGTGACTTTAAATAAAAAAAAATACTTTTCTACCTACGTGACTTTACCGAAATAACCAAAGAGTATGGATTCCTGCAGTCACGAAAGCTTCAAATCAAGATTAACACCTCCTGTTTCATTGCCAGAAAGGGTAGACACCGATTATTATTTTTCATGCACAGATGAGCGTTTAGACGTGGGAGCAAACCGAAGCATCCCGGGGGAAAAAACCCCCACACGTGTGAGGAGGCGGGGAGGGCAACGCTCTCTTCCGTGTACAGTTTAGTTGATTTAGTTTATTTATTTGGTATAGCCCTGTGAGCCATTCGGCTCTTGAATCGGGTGCAACCGCAACAAAAAAAGAAAAAACACGAACGAGAAAACCATCTTTCAGTGACTATGTGACTGTGCAAACAGAAAATCCATGAAAAAAACAGCAAAATATTCCTGAAAAAAAGCACCGTACACCAACGCTGTGTGCAAAAAATCCCAGTGGGATGCAGGTCAAACAACAACCACAAGACAACTTAGATTAAGGCCGTCAGTCTAACTCCGTACGACAACAAAACAAACATGTCCAAACCAAAAAACGCTTTCGAAATCACCAAAAAATAAAGCCGTAATTGCAACGTAACAGTGATCATAGAGACTGTGACTGATTTTTTACAATAAAGTACATAAATAACATGTAACACCAAAATCCTAGAGCCATAGCTGGCTGCATGAGTTACTCCACAATAACAGAAGCATTAGTCGGAGTATCAAATTTTTCAATGCGCCTTTAAGATCAGCACGCTAAATAAAAATACAGATAATACTTTGCAGCATCATCCAGAGCGAAACATTTTATTTTATTTTACGCCAATGAATAGCAGTGGTAGCTAGGGGTGTACAACTCCTCTAGAGCAGTTTTGAGAGAAGATCTCATTGGTAGCGATTCAAGTTGCAGTTTATTGGCAATAGCATTCCAGACCCTGGGGGCATCAATAGCAAAGGCCCTACCTCCAGTTTTTGTACGGCAATAGGGAATGTGAAGATGGAACAGGTGGAGTCCACGTCCGCTTAACCACCCTCTCCTGGCAAGCCAGGGTATTGCAACCACCTCTTCGGCGCCCCACGGGGAAGTGGAGGTTTCACGACGTTTCTGCTCGATCAACCAAACCCGCTGGCTTCCCGAGTGCTGGGATCACGTGCATAGTAGCCACCGCCGTCCAACAACGGCGATGGTCATTTCCCAAGAAAAGGTGTAAGTCAAATTATATTTAAAACATTTCCATACATGAGCTGTCATCTTCAGACAAATACCTCTGTCTGCTCGGGGGTTCATGACTTTTCATTCTTGGGCCTTTATGCTCATTTCCAGCTTCACCGTAAACGTTTGTGTCGTTGCTCATGTCACCGAGATCTGCGTTTTTATCGACGCAGCACAAGCCACTCCGCATTCTATTCTCTCTCAATCTTGGATTGGTTCTAACTTTACCCAATTAGACATTGCCAAAACTGACGTCATCCTCAAAGGTGATAATTCCCCGTCTACTGCTGTGACCGATATTTATACTGTATATGCCTTTACCACCTTCCTCTTTATACGTGTATGTATGTATGTTGAACTTCTGGCATCGTACGTAGCCATGATAATCCTAGGTGCGGGGAAAGGACAACAAACTAAACACAAAAAGCACTTATAAATAAATGTCTTTTCAATATAGATTTAAAAGAGCATAGCTCCAGTGGCTTCCTAATATCGGGAGGAAGAGCGTTCCAGATGGCCACAGAAGCGCATCTGACAGCACGCGATGCAGTGACACTTCTAACTCTCCTATAAGGTCTCCAGAAATCCTTCACCAATAAAATACATAATGATCTAGAATGTAACAGCCAAACTCAGCACCCACGTCGCCCAAATCCTTAGATCCCTTCATGATTGCGACACCAACAACCCGGTAACGATGGAGAGCTACCGTCTTCGTTTGTGGTGCCGTGAAAAAACGTCGGCATAAAAAGAGAGAGAGATTAAAACCCCACGTACACATTGCGAAAAATTAAAATTGGTCAGAGTAAATTACACTGGAAGGTTATTGTCCGTGCTCAACTCCATTATGTAACCGAGGCCAGGACCTGTGGAGGGGCAATTGAAGGTAATTTTCAGTTCAAATTACTGCCACTTGTTTAGAACCAGGTGGAGTAGTCGTTTAAATCCCCCCCCCCCCCACCGTTCTGATGGGGAGATTGGGAAAGCTGGATTTTATTGTGGTACCCGATTTTAATTACATTTATTTGGAGATGCATTATCAATCATTTTGATTCAGTCGATGTGTGTGGGCGCACAATGGGCCTCTCTTGTGAACGATATCACAGATTTCGTTGGTAGCAACCTCGTTCGGTAATTCGCTGTAGAATTTGCCGGGCCGAGCTGAAGCTGGTTACGGCTTACGGGTCAGAGGACTTGGCCGGCATCGTTGAGTTCAACGGTTCAAATCAGTCCCGGTCACGGCCTTACTCTAGTTGACGATAACCTGCAGAATTTTAGTCAACGTATTCTACGTTGATGTTGTTGTTATAGATGTTGCTGTCAATTTTAGTCAAGTCAAGATTTTCATTTAACCATTTCCTTGCTCTAGTTGGCTGAAGCAATCAAAAATGCAGTCAAACACTCGCAGGTTTCTAAACGCCGGTGTGAGATGCGCACAATTCTCCCTCCACGACGCCGATGTTATCAGCTCAGCCCATCGGTGAACTCCGTACCACAAAAAAACACGTTGAATACAGAAGCAGTAAATAGCCTATTACCAGCTATGGTCCTTCCCTCCTGTCCAACGCAGCCTCCAATAACATTACCGCTAACTTGGGTCCGCGTCCTCATTCAGACTGTTTCGTCATTTCGTCTCGTCGCGGTCAGCGCTCCGGTCTCTTGACGGGCGGGCAGCATCCGGCGCGTCGTCACGCTGGACATATTTTCATCCACTCACGGCCAGCGTTGACAAAAGGAAGAATGAGAAAAAAAAACACATTTGCCCCGCGAATATGTTTACCGCTAAATTAACACCCGTTGTGGCGTGTCACCTCCCGCTTGTAGCACCGCCGCCGCCGCCGTGCATCGGAGCGTCTGACTCGTCTTCGCGGGGCCGCGCCGCCGCCCGCGCGATGGACCGACGCGTCCGGCTCGCGTCGAACGCCGCGACGGCGACGTTCGACGGTGACGACGGCGACGGCGGCGACGGTGACGACGGCGGCGCACGGTGGCCGCGTGAGTAACGAGCGCGGGAACGACCGCAATCGATAAACAGCCGGCGGGAAATGTTATCGTTCCAAAAACACTCCGCGAGGCCTCGATATCTCCCCGCCGGGCCTTTTTGAGGTGCGTGATAATGCACTTCTTCACTCCTCCCAAACACAATAAATTGTACCCGGGTCCCAGCCCTTATCAGCGGCTCATGCGGGGCCGTGAGTGTATTAACATGTAAAAGATATGCGTATGAAATGGGAACGCAATGTAGCGCGCGTGCGTGAGCCTGCCCGACGGGACAATGAAATATCTCTCTCACGCGGCTTCTCACCCGCGCTTGCCTCGGCAGAAAACGTTAATAAATAATAAATAACGCTCTATCGGGAGAGCGGTGGCTCAAGCAAACTCCATGGGTTTGTGCCGTGTTTGTGTGCACGTGTTTGAGTCCAGACAGAACTGTATCACCGACTTGAAATCGGCAGAGGAAGCAATTCCGCGCAGCAGCGGCGGAAGTGATGCCGTCGTAAACGAGGTGTGCGAGTTTAAATATGTGACGGGCACCACTGTACCAACATCATCATCATCATGGTCATCACCACCACCACCACGACGACCGGCACGCTGCAAGTCGATCTCTAGAAATACGAGAGGAGAGAGGTAAGCAGAGGCAAGGAGGCTCTTCGAGAAGGGCAATCGCGATCCCGGGACCGGGCCGAGCAGTCTGCGGATTGGGGTGGCGCGGTTGAATTTGCAGTCCAGGAAGCGGCATTACGGAGTTTGGAGGCGAGGACTTTGAGGACACACGCCGCACAGGAGGGAGCCATGGCAGTTGACGCACAATTATCAGAGTACGTTGCTCTAGTGTTTAGTTTGTCGTCCTTCCCGCCAACTCCGATTGGCAGGGATCGGCCACGTGCGGCGGCGCGGAAGAAGTTCGACATTCGCACGAAGCACAATTAAAAAATAAAATAACGAGCCGATGAAATAGCGGTAAACGTGTCAAACGCAAAACGGCGACGGGTAGGCCGAGACGTACCTGCCAGCGGCCGCCTGCAGGTAGCGGTTGGCGCCTTGAACGAGGAAGCCGAAGAGGCGGCCGTAGATGGCCCTGGCGAGGAGGTCGCGGGCCCACGACGCCGCCTCGGCACTCAGCTTGCGCGCCAGCAGCTCTCCTGCTGCGCCAACCACACGTGGACCAGGTGGGGGGGGGGGTGGACCAGGTGGGGGGGGTGGACCAGGTGGGGGGGGGGGTGGACCAGGTGGGGGGGGGGGGGGTGGCAGTTGTTTGATGGATCGTTTCTGCTGCCCGGTTACTTTACCAGATGAGGCCCACAGAAGCAACCTGGCCACAGAAGCGACCTGGCCACAAAAGACAGCTCACAAAGTGGCTTTTCACGTGGATATTTACGGCGGCCAAATACTCTAAATGCGTGATGTTGATTCTAAATGTGGAGGGGAAAATCGGAGGACCTGGAGAAAAACCCACGCGATTTCACAAATATAGAGCAGCAGGCATCAGGGTCGGGATCGAACCCACGACCTCCTGTATACCAGGCGAGGTAGTTAACATCTCCTAGCCACCGTGATGATGATGAGGGAGAGAGAGAGAGAGACACGCGAACTCCAAATATGTAGCAGCAGGCATCAGGGTCGGGATCGAACCCACGACCTCCTGTATACCAGGCGAGGTAGTTAACATCTCCTAGCCACCGTGATGATGATGAGGGAGAGAGAGAGAGAGAAAGACACGCGAACTCCAAATATGTAGCAGCAGGCATCAGGGTCGGGATCGAACCCACGACCTCCTGTATACCAGGCGAGGTAGTTAACATCTCCTAGCCACCGTGATGATGATGAGGGAGAGAGAGAGAGAGAAAGACACGCGAACTCCAAATATGTAGCAGCAGGCATCAGGGTCGGGATCGAACCCACGACCTCCTGTATACCAGGCGAGGTAGTTAACATCTCCTAGCCACCGTGATGATGATGAGGGAGAGAGAGAGAGAGAAAGACACGCGAACTCCAAATATGTAGCAGCAGGCATCAGGGTCGGGATCGAACCCACGACCTCCTGTATACCAGGCGAGGTAGTTAACATCTCCTAGCCACCGTGGCGCCTCTTCCTCCTTCTTCTCACACCGCGGCCGCTCTCCGCTCACTAAGTGACGCCGCTTCTGTCCGTCTGTATCTCCATCGCTGATTGTCAGCCAAGGTGAGTTTAGGCAATGACGCAAGGACAATAGAGGGTAGGTCTGAACTAAGTCTATTTTGTTGAACGATTTTAGAGAACTGAAGAGGCCAGGATGTAGTTTTGATTTGCAAGAGCGATCCTGGGTCAACAAAATGACAAAAACCAGGTTCTCAGCGGTGCCAGGCTCAGTGCTTTTGACGTCCGAGGCCATCCCGGGCCGCGGGATCATCGAGCCTCTCTGTCACATTGCTTCGCACCGCTCCCTCTGGACAGAGACCGCGCGGTCCATCGCTCACACGTTCATCCCTGCTCGAGCCCACAGCTGTCCCCTACGCCAGATTGACCACACCGTCTGCTTCAGCCACGAGGCCATCTACATTAAGGAGTTGTGCGGCCGTAATCGCTTCACCACCTTCGGCCATTAACGCCGCTTTTATAACACCAGCGTGCAGAGTTAGCTAACGATGTAAGACGCAATGGCCCATATGGGAAAAAAACAGAGAGAGCGTAGCCAGATTGACTAACAAACTGCAGTTTACAAGTGCAATGCCTGGAAAGTATTGGAAATGTTCTAAGAAGCTGACAGTTGCGAACTGATGTCGTCAATAAAACCATCTGTATCGCTAAATATAAACTCTTTAGTTTTACCAGGTAAGGCCCATTGAGCTGTAAAGCTCTTTTCCAGAATTGACCTGGCCACGTAAGATAGCTCATCAAAGTGGCTTTTCACGCGGATATTTATAGCGGACAAATACTCTAACTGCGTGATGTCGATTCTAAATGTGGAGGGAACAACCGGAGGACCCGGAGAAAAATCCACGCGACCACGGGAAGAGAGAGAGAGAGAGAGACACGCAAACTCCAAATATACTGGCATCAGGGTCGGGATCGAACCCGTGACCTCCTACATACCAGCCGAGGTAGTAAACATCTCCTAGCCACCGCGCGCGACGATCGCACCACAATTGTCTCAGCAGCGAGACGAGTGCTGTGCAGTTATCGTGTGGATGAGCTGAGACAATCCCTCACTCACGCTTCACTCTCAGCGGTGCTCGGGTCAATCGGTCTGCGGACTCAAGCGGACCGACACGACCGACCGTGGCTCTCGGCGAGCCACCTGCCGTGCGCAACGCAACGAGGGCTTCCCTTCTGCTGCCCCAGTTCCTCCGGGAATTCGCGCTCTGCGATGATAGTGACGCCGAGGGGCAGCCCTCAATAATGCATGGGATCCCCAGAGTGGAGGAGTGGACGCGTCCACATGCTGCGTTGGCCAGCAGCTGCCGCTACCGCCTCCACTTCCATCCACCCAGGACAGGAGTTCATCTCAAGGCTGCACCTGTTACTCCAACATAAGACAACGCCACTGCGGGAAATGTTCAGAAAACTCCAGATTTCGCTCGAGAAAATCCAACGAGTCACTCCTCCATCCACATCTTCTACTAGAAAAGGCCGGTGGTGTTCGCTCAACCGTTCAACTCACATTTGCTCATCCCAACAAGGAGCTCTGTAAATAAGTACGCATATGACCTGTAATGCCGGGCAGTGTGTGTATCGTTGGAACGTACCATGCGTCGAAAATGTTCCTAAAGAACATCTAAAAAAACAACAAGTTTAATTCACGGTGAGCGAACCCAAGACAAACGCAACACGATACCTTTAGTGTAGATCGTGTCCGAGGTGAGGGCTGTGCCGAGCTCCTCCGGAGACACTTGCAGCATGTAGGCGACTGCCAAGAGAGTGACGACCGCGGGCGTGAGCAGTGGACACGCGCGCGTGCACGTGGTTACACAGGGATGCTGAAATCATCAGCTGTTGCAGAACGCGGCAGGTACCCTCGTCAATGTCAATCAGCTGCATCCGTCACGAGAAAGTCAACGGCACGCTGGATCGCGAGACATCACAACGGGCAGCAAACGTCACTGTGGTCACATTTACATTTTAGTTTCCTGTCCACATTCCGCATATACATGAATTCACCACTTGCACAGCAGCTGGGCATATATATTTACACATCAAGGGACACAGTAGCCAGGCCCATAGAGCCAGACTAAGGCACCTTTAAGATTCTTACAGTTCAATGTTAATGCCAGAGGTTCAGAGCAAAATCAAAAGAAATGTGGGCTTTCGCTGATGCAGTGCTCATGCACAAGATTCAAAACCAGGCAGAGGCAACGTTTGGAATTCCTCGGGTGCGACATGAACGTTCGAGGCTCACAGGGATCGCGCTGCGTTTGAAGAAGGCACGGGACACCACCGAGTTGTTGTGACGTTCTTACTCCGGTATAAATAAATGTCCCGATTCCAGTTTAATGTACGCTGAACTTCTTACGCACTGCACGTTGCCAACCATACGAATCGGAGGTGCGGGATCTGAGCGACGTTGGGCCACGCTCCTTGAGGCCTGCCCTGGGGCCCCTGTGGGTTGTTCCCCGTGATACTAGAGCGGTGTTTCTCAAACTTTCTTGGGCCCGCGGTCCACTCAGCCGATGCAAACATTTCCACGGACCACCCAGCCCTTAAATGCCAGTAATACAAAATGATTCCTTCTGTGTTACCGGCACATGTTTTTTTAAACATAGCTGTAAGTTTTAGTTTTTTAGGGGGGGGGGGGGGGGGCGGGAGGCATTTATATCTTACGGTGATGGTAGCTTAATCACGGCAGTTTACCTAATTTCATTTTCAAATTCAATATCCTGAGTAAAATATGAATTAACGTCCGAAACAAAAGTTAAAAGCATTGTCATTATTTCCCGATCAACGTGCGTTTACACCACCGCCCCGCAGACCACCTGGAGGAACGTCCCAGACCACTCGCTGGTGGATCTCGAGGAAGCACACTCTGATAACCACTGGGCAGAGGAAGCACACTCTAATCACCACTGGGCTGGAGGGACGATCCTGGGAGCAGAGGCAGGCGCCCCACACCCAACGCTCTTCACTCATCAACAAACACTGCCGACAAACGGCTCCACGCGTCGTCGCTGGCGATACGAGATGGGCCAAAGCACATTTACCGGTGTTGAAAGTAAATACATAAATCACGGTTTAATGCCTTTTATTTGAATAGGCAATAGCCCACTGATGTTAATTTCCACTTTACAAGGGATACGTGAGAAATTGAAGATGCAGCGGTGGTTTCTTTAATTTTAACAGATCTATGGAGATATCTTTATCGATCTGCGTGTAAACTTTCCATTTAGGGTCAGATGCACGTCTGGATAAGACAATATCAAACACAGTCTGGTGGGATTCACCCCACCGATGATGACAAGAGCCATCAGCACATTTGAATTTTTACTCAAAATTATAGGGACAATTTCCTTCTGCTTTTGCCACTCGATTCATTTATTGACCTCTTGTGGACATTCCGGCACAGTCTCAATCGCGGGCAAAACCAGCGAGTCACGTGAAGAGAAAGGCACGATTCCCTAAAGCAAAGCCAGACACTTGGGAGAAATTATTGCCTGTACGGCATACATAGTTTTGCACGTGTGTCTCGAAGCAATTAACACACGGAGATAGCAGTACGTGTTTTTTTATTAACAGAAATCCAAAGGGACCGAATGGTTTCGCAGTAAGTGTCCGCTTGGTACCTTCATGTGGTTAAGGTGCTCGCTGTAGCCCACGTCATTTACGATGTTATTCGAGCGGAGGCGGCGCAGGCACTCCACCGGAAGTAATGGTTTTGATGCGTCAAGGAAAGGGAAACAGACGTTGTCTCTGGCTGATTTCCCCACCGGCCGCGCGGCTCCGCGCAAGTGAACGCGCAGGAACCCGTTGCGCTATCGCTCCCCATTGACCCATCGTGCCGAGGGCGCGCGTGCACACACAAACGTCCCGGCGAACGCGAAACCGCGTGCCGGATCGCCCGACGCGGAGGATGGATCGCGTGCGCTGACCATGCAGAAGCGATGCAGGTGACAAGTTCTTTCTGAACGGCTGTTGATTTCAATTGCAGTTGCTGCCATATGGGGGGGTTAATGATGAATAGTATGTGGAAGTTGCAATCCAGAGTTTGACACTTTGGCATCCCTGCACAACAATTTAGAATTTGGTCAAATTTCTTAAATCCTCCCCGGCACTGTTCACCCAGCAGATATATATGGAGGACAATGAACATCATAAGCTAAAATGTATTCTTTACTTATCTTATTTTTCGATTTAAAGCTTTCGTGACTGCAAGGATTAATCTTCTTTGGTTCTTTCGGTAAAGTCACGTAGAATGAGAATAAAATAATAAATTGATAAAATAAAATAACACAATAATATTCTCACGACGTTTCGGCCACAACACAAGCGGCCTTCATCAGGTGAAGGGGACGAGACTGTCTGGCCGAAACGTCGTGAGAATATTATTGTGTTATTTTATCAATTTATTATTTTATTCTCATTCTACGTGACTTTACCGAAAGAACCAAAGAAGATACTTATCTTATATTTATAAAGCGCCTTTATCCAAGGCGCTTCACAAGGGATACGAGTGGTCCAATGATGGTAGCTAAAAGTGATACGCCGAACAGGGATGGGGTATGGGGAGGGAGGTTAGTGGGTGAGGGGATTACGGGGGGTACCTAGGGATGGATGGAACGATGAGCCAGGCAGAAGAGGTGGGAGGTCTTGAGGGAGGAGTGGAAACGAGACAGAGAGGGCGCTCGCTTCATGCGGAGGTGAAGTTTGTTCCAGTGCAACGGGGGGAAATTCAAATGGCAGAACACCACATGGCTTGGGTGGGCATCATTCTACGCTGAATGGTCACCGTTCGTTTTAACTCAAAATTGTACCCAACTAAGACCCGTATTTTGCTCTATGCGTCCTATGTTCAAGAGCGCACAATTGGATTGCCGCTCATTCAGCTCCCACTGTACCTATTAAATTAAGCATCCGTACAGGATCATAAAGCCATTGCGTGTCTCCACGTAGATAAAACAAAATGAGTCACAATCCAGTGGCCTATCGGCTTTCCAGACCATTATCATCCGGCAACATTTGTTGAAGCAAGCAACAATCTGGAGCGGTTTCCACCTTCTGGGGGTCTCTTCAGACGTCAAGGTTCGTTGAACAAATGCAGCTTTGCTACGAGGTGTTATTCGCAAGTGCACGCCAAATATTGCCTTAAAGCTTTCGTGACTGCAGGAATTCATATTATTTGGGTCTTTCGGTAAAGTCACGTAGATACGTGACTTTACCGAAAGACCAAAGAATAAGTGCACGCCAGTTCAACTACCGGCCCTGCTGGATTACACGAAGAGTGAATCTCAGGGCGGGAAGCGTCACAGCTCTGAGCGCACGTTCCTGCTCCCCCTGCTGGTACAACTCAGGGTGGCAGTGGGCGCTCTCGATGCATCCGCTGCGTTATTGAATCCCTCGCGGTGGCGCGCAACCGGACAAATCTGCGCGCTAAAAGTTGGCCATGTAAACGCAGCCAGTTTGGCATGGTCCCCACATGCCCCGGTAGACGATGAAACAAGGCTCTGTTGAGAATACGCCACAATGGCTTGCTGTGTTCACTCACCTATATAAAGATACATTCGTAAATTGATGTGCCTGCTGAAATTGCAGCATTTGCGGTGCCCAATTTTGTTGGTGTCCCCTTAGCCAGTGATAGAAATTCCATATTAATATGCCAGATGCTATGACGGGTATATTAGATGCGAGATCGCTAAAACGAACCCACTAAAACGACAAAACAGAGCCACAGAATTATCAGCGTTTGCTTTCCAACGCGAATACATCAATTCGATTTTAAACTTTTAAGTGTGACGCTCGTTATTTTAATAAGCAGATATTTCATGGCCACGATAAATTCCTGCTTGCATTTTAATCAAATCACTGTACTAAATTAAGAGGGAAAAAATGCCATTTTTAATTAGGGGCGTCGCCACGACGCTGTGAATTTCAAAATGCCACCATGCCTGCGATACAATATCGCGGGCAGTAAAAAGCGTGCCGTAATGAATTTTTTGCCGAAACCAGTAAATTCCCCCGTATGATATCTTGACGGAGGGCTGAAGGGGGTCGCGAGCAGACATCTGCACGGCGCGTTGGGCTCCCGTCTCTCGCCGGGAAATCTCCTCGCCGTTTTAATTACGAAAGGGCGGCCGCAGATGCCCTGTTTGGCCAGCTACGCCTCCTGGCAGCCAGAGATAAGCCCAGGGGCCTGGATCTGGCCAGATGGCCTTCAGCATCTTTGGCTACACTACAGCTAAACCGTGGCTTGCGGATGGGAAGGGGATATTCTTAACGTGTCTTGAAAGGGGGCAGGTCTTTGTTTAATGTTTCAACACAGATACACCAGGGTCAAAGGGAACTTATCAGGGGGTGTGCTAGTAGGGCTTGTTGTTGAGCTTTGCGTATATGTACGTTGAATTTCTTTCGTACCGTACGTAGCCAACCGTGCTAGGCCAGGGGTGGCCAGGGGTGGGAATTTTTATGAGAATCGAGTGTATGGTAAATGGTTGAACATTTGCAGGATTGATATTTGTGTGTATTGCGATGCATACGGCAAAGACTTGTCAGTCTTCTTGCAGTACCTCTTCGGTTGAAATCAATACATTTCGACGCAAATTCAATATCATTATCCAACGAGATGATTGTGAATTCCACTTGCGAATTTTGATTGTGGCTGGGTGCCACTTCTGACATCCGGAGGTCCCCTAGGCTAAAATAAACTCCGCTCAGAGACGTTTTGCTATGTTACGGGTGCAGCATAAATGCAAATATTATTAT